CTAAAGAAAAAAATGACACAATTTGACCTCCAACCCTGTACCTAATAGCGGTGGGCCCGGCGGGTGCGTGCAGCCCGTTTTTCTCACCGGTTCAGGGTCAAATTGGGTCGATCCGTGGGTCAACCCGCGGGTTGACAACCTTGTTTTGGTTTCAGACCGGGACGAGAGAGAACGAGAGAGAGGAGGGAATTGAGCGGCTGAAACGAGAATGGGGAGGCTAGGGTTTCTCCAAACGGGTAAATATACCCTCGAGTGCAAAAGTACAAAATTACCCCGGGTTGACAACCTTGTTTTGGTTTCAGACCGGGACGTGAGAGAACGAGAGAGAGGAGGGAATTGAGCGGCTGAAACGAGAATGGGGAGGCTAGGGTTTCTCCAAACGGGTAAATATACCCTCGAGTGCAAAAGTACAAAATTACCCTCATGATTTTCGTTTAATTACCCACTGCCACTCTGAGTTTGCTTCCGCGAAAATCCAAAAAAAATCACCTACTCTGTGTCTCGAGCCCGAGGCCCAGAGCTCACCACTCGTCCCAAATCAATGCAACTAGCCACTAAGACATCACATCATACGTGAAACTCTAGTCTTCTCATCTCAATTTATTTATGTTTAAGCTTAATAGGCAATATTTGTATCAACTAATCGTGCTAACATTGTTGCTTTAACCAAATTATGTCGGCCTCTAAATATTTCAAAATATTAAAAAAAACTTGGTTACCATAATTGCTTTGGCTTCATTATTCATACACATACTCGTTCTACTTAGAAACTCTCTTAACACGAATCATGGTCAATAGACCATGATAGTCACTCTCGATGAAACTATTAAAAAATTATCTTACCACTCAAATACTAAGTTGAAACGTGATAAATATATTTCCTAACAATTCAAATTGTTATCTTAATCACGATCATTAGAACGTATTAAGATCACATCAAACCTCTCAATTACAATCGAACTACGTGGACTTTGATCCCGACTACTCGGGTACGCAGGCAACCAATAGGTTTCAAGTCCAATTAATCAAAAACTTTCTCCACATTTCAACGTGTGAGACTCAACATTTTAAAACCTCTTGATTTAAAACGAACTACGTGGACTTTGATCCCGACTAAGTCGGGTATGTAGGCAACCAATAGGTTCGAGTCCAACTAATCTAAAAAATATTTTTACGTCAACGTAAACATTATCAAGTAACTATAACAATTCAAAATTTACGCTAATCATATCGTCCAATTGAAATCTAAAAACTACACCCCGAATAATTAAAAATAATTCATAGGGTAGAAGAGAAGGCAAAGAAGAGGAAACAGGAGAAGTTGGTGATGCTTGCAGACTTGACGAAGGTTAGAGAGATCACTTCAGCTAGTTTTCTTGAATTGCAAAGTATGAAAATGTGATTTTTGCGCTACAAAGACGGCTAACCATCTGTGTAATATTTGTAGTCCTGGTCCTTTTTCATTTTGGTGCTTATTCAATGGTAAGCTTGTTCAACTGTAAGCTTCATGTCTAATCTGTGTAGTCTTTGACGATTGCAATGAACTTATTTCGATTGAACATATCCAATTTATTCATTCACAACCATAAACTTATTGAACATTCAAACATGTTCAGACCATTTACAAAAGGGAGAATACCTACATATGAGCTAATGCTCTCATTACATACTTTAACTTAGACTCCAACTCGAACCTTATTTTAGGATTGGGAACATGTCCAAACCATGTACAAAAGGGAGAATCCTAACCATGGAGTTGCTTTAAATCTGATCTCATGTCCTACAGATGTACAAAATGCAATTACAGACTTCTTCTTACACTCCAACGAATCACTAGGATCCGTAACATGCACATAGCACGTACAAAAAGTGGAGTCCTATCTACTACCAAACATAGCTATCTACTTCCAAACATAGCTTCTTCTTGCTCCTTAAGGTGACTCCATTGATTAGTCGAAGGCTATGTGGTATTGACAGGAGGTAGGTTCGATTCTCTTGGTTGTACACCAGGTGCTGGAACTCTGTTACTAAGTTGCAGAACACAAGTTTCTTCATATTAGGAATAGAAACAGCAACAAGTTTTTACAAACGCTAAACACAATGAGATTAACATATACCCTTGCATACATGTTTCCAATCTCCATGTCAATATATGTTCCAATGTCTTGCATAGCTCTTCTAATTTCATGATCAGTTACCTTTCTACTGGACTAGCAAACACGGGGAGCCTACACGTTTATAGAGGACTAGCATTCATTCATTCCATGCATTGAATTCTCTATGCTCACATAGTTAAAAAAAATGGTTACCTGGATTCCTACAATCAGTTAACAACATCTTGCATTATGGTGCTTAGACACACATTTTGAGCAACACCCCTTCTTCCTTTTTCGTGGTTGTTGTAACATTTAACATGTCAAACATGTATCAAACATAACCAATAATTGTGATTGGTGATTGGGAGGGACTTTTTCGAGTTACCTTATTCTCCCTTCCGACTTTGTCATTTGATTAAGGAATAGGTGGCCTATGATTCGAGCATGCTTGCTTCTTCTTTGTAGGTGATGCAGTCTTTGGGGAAATAGGCGCATTCTTACATGTCCTCGCATTTTGGCCTTCTCCACAACATTTCCCAAAATGAACCATGAGGTTCTCCCGACTAGCAACCTCCACAATTCCATTTTTAGCTCGTCTGCTCCAGATCTCCCAAGCCTCCATTCTTCGTTTTGTCTTCGAACGATTAGGCACGAGCCTAATCCTAGGTGGGTAAAACTTGTTCCCAAATGTGGGCATCCATACTTGCCGCCCTTCTGATGGTGGAATGGGATACTTGTATACCGATTTGATGAACTCCATCTTGAAGTAATCATCGACATAATTATCCGGTTTATGTCTCATGTGTGTGATGGATGCAAGAGCAGCAAGGGATACTGTTGAGTGCCCACCAACCGCACATACATGTCTGGCTGTTCAAGTCAACCACAAAGCCCTTGCCATCGACAGATACCTCATGCAACGTATCCGATGAGGGACGACTAGTACACATTCTCGCTTCATGTTTTGCCTTCTCCAGTTTTCCTCTGACCATCAGAGGGAAAACATCCTTCCACCGATTCATCATCCTTTTGTTGTTCACTAGTCGAATCATAACATACACTCAAATCCCCTCCAACATTGCAATCGGTCTGACAGACCTAAATCGCAGTATCCAGTTGTTGAATGATTCGCATATGTTGCTCTCCACCGAGTCACTTTTGGAGAATGTCTTCATGAACAACCGAAAAAAGTGCTTCGGTTCCTAAGCCATAAAATTTGCATATTCAGTCCTACCAAGACCTTTCATTCGAACCATGGCATCCCTCAAATCCGACTCATTAAACGAGTACACAAATTTCCAAAAAAATGTTAGTCGCTATAGCCGTCTTATGCTTCTCTCGAACGTGGGAGTGAACATGCCGAGCATATTTCCGGTATTCCGCATTTGGCAAGCAAGTACGGAGCGCCTCTACAAGCCCATGTGTTACATGGACAACATTAGGAAGAGCAGTGAGTATAAGTGGCAGTATGCAAATAATAGCAAGGGTAATAATACCATAAGGTTAACAAGTGAACTAGTTACCTTCTTTTGGTATGAGACAATCGTCTACGCACTACCATCAATTCTCCCAAGTTGGTCTTGCAACGCACTAACGAACCAAATCCAAGAGGATTTATTCTCAAACTCCACTATTGCCAACACAATTGGGAACATGTGGTTGTTCTCATCCTTCCTAACAACCTACAAAAGCATTCCTTGGACCTCCCCCTTTAGGAAACAACCATCAAGGTAGAAGAACGGTTTACAACCTGCTAGGAACCCTTTGCACAAATTGGAGAAGCCAATATAAAGTCTTTTGAAGAAGACTTTGTCACAACCCGTATCTAAATCCACCTCGAGAAGAAAGCATCCGTGCGGGTCAAATTTCACTAAATGGCCTATATACAATCTAATCTGGTTAAAATCTTCTTCAAGTGAGCCACATAGTATGCGACGCGCTTCCAACCTAGGATAGAGCTAGTCTATTCGTTATGGGGAATCAATGCTCGGTAGCAAGTTTGGTTTGACACAACCAAGTTGAACTTGTGTTTGACTTCAGCCTCTATTAGGCCAATATACCACCCTTGATTTTCCATAAAGTCTCGATATATTCTTCTGCTATCCACTTCTGAGTGACTGCACGAATCCAAGGTGAATGCGAGCAACTGTGAGCTGGTCCAACTCCTTTTACCATAAAGGCTTCATGCTTGTGAAACCAACTTGCATATACCCTCTAGCCACATGAGTACTCTTTCTTTTGCGCACACACAACTTCTTTCCTAACTGTAGTGCTCCTTACCCATATGATATAAACACCAATCTCAATTGAGTGCCTCATTACAGTTGCCTTAAACTATTCAGGGGTGCTAAAGAGCATACAAGTGACGAATCTCAATGCTTTATGATCACACTTTGGATCATAAAGCAGACTCTTACCAAACCTGGTACCATTCTCTTGTTCGCCAATGTCGCCTCTAACATGAGCAAACTCCTTTGATCCCACATACTCAGTTTCCATCGATACTCCACTATCTACATCAACTTCTCTAGATTTAGATGGCTCATTGGATCCCCCACTTTCACTCTTTTCATTTTGCCCCGGATTATCAGTAATCAAATTCTACTCCTCGTCCTCAGAGACCGCTTGATCCACCTCGTACCCCGATACCTCAATATGTGCTCTAAAATTATGCCTCCTCATTCGAAACTTTCCCTAATTTCATGGTACTCTTCATCATATGTTTGGGCATCATCCTCTTCATCTACTCGTAGAAATTCAGGTACAGCTGAGTTTTCACCCTCCTCATCTGATCCATCATGATCATGGCCATAGTTGTCACCCATAAATCCATCATCACCAATGTCTTTGGTTGCTTCAAAGTAGAGCCTCGCATCTCTTTTAGCTGCATCTTAAAGGCTCCACCTATGAATGTATTTCATGCAATCCAGTGGCCATACTTTCCCCCGGGGTCAAGTACCAAATCCTTTCCACCGAAACATATTGTAAATCTTCAATTAGTGTCTTCATGATCTCAAAATATGATAGTACATCGACAAGCAGATTCACTACAGCTTCATTACCTCCAATGCACTTTGGAACAGCCACTGACATATCCATAAAACCTCAATGGCATAAAACGAGCTCAATTTGGTCTTCCATCCTGCACATAAAGAATTTCAAAAACACATCTTTCTAAGCTCACTTTACTAAGCCGACGAAGACAAATCAATTATTATTGTTTAATCTCCACTGCACATCATTCCACATATGGCCAAATCCTATTTCTTGGACGTATTCTGATGTTTATTAAGAGAGATAGTGATTACTTACTGATAACACCTAAATTGGTGCAATTTATCCTTCATATTCAGATTTATTTCGTGCTAATTCGTGTACACAATCAGAAGAATATCGTAGATTGCATACCTATTTCGTTTATTTTTTATTATGTTGTCATTCTAGGGTGCTTTAGACGATACATGTGAATTAGGTACAAAAAGGTTACAAATGTAGAGAAATGGGAAAAAATGTGTAGAAGCAAGGAAAGAAGCCATAAATTACAAAGATCGCAGTTAAAGGGCACAATTTCCCAAACGATAAGTGAGACCGTGAAGTTTCCTTGGAGATCGCGGGACAAGACCAAAGGGTCCCGACCGCGAATTGAAGCGCTTTATCCGCAAACTTCAGGAGGAAACATAGTTGGAAGAGCAGAGAGTCTACCCACTCTTCTCGCTAGAAGAGTTGCTAGACATCAACCTCCTCCAATGGCGGATCAACAACAACCTCAAATTGCACCAAGGCCTAGAACAATGAGATCTTATTCAAGGCCACGTGCGGATAGTGTTCAATCTACTATTCTTCACCCACCAGTGCTAAACAACAACTATGAGATAAAGCCGTGCACAATTTTGATGCTTCAAAGTGCATTTCAATTCAATGGGATGATGAGTGAAGACTATCACGAACATATCAAGTCTTTCCACGAATTGACGGATGGAATTAAGATAAATGGGGTTCCTTAAGAGGCAATCCATCTGAGGTTATTCCCGTTTACTTTGAATGGAGTGGCAAAGCAATGGTTGAGTAACCATCCCCATCACCTCATGGGCGGATCTATGATACAAGTTCTTCGCAAGGTATATTCCCCCTTCTAAGACTGCCTCAATGAGAAGCGAGATTACTATGTTCCGTCAAGAGGAAGATGAACCATTGTTTGAAGCATGGGAAAGTTTTAAATCTCTTATACTCAAATGTCCACACCACGACATCGCTGATTGGTTGAAAGTGGAAAGATTTTATAAAGGTTTGAATGGGGAGTCACGAAACCTCATCGATGTTTGCTAGTGGAGGTGCCATCAAGAACAATGAAGTTGGTGAACTTCAAAAACTCATTGAAGAGATGTCCCTAAATAGATACAATTAGGATGATGAAAGAAGAGGTAAGAATGTGAAGAAGGGAAGTTTATTAAAGATTGAAGAACAATCTTCGTTAGTGGCTCATATGCAACAACTCTCCAAGAAAATTGATCAAGTTGCGTCATCTATGAAAGACAATGGAAAGCAACTCATGAAATGTGATCGGTGTGGTGAGTTGAATCACACTATGGAGGAGTGTAAGTCTATGATTGAGGCCTCAATACAGTTTGAGCAAGCCAACTTTCTTGGTGGCCAGTCACAAGGGAACAACCCATATATCTCTACATATAATCCGGGTTGGAGGAACCATCCCAACTTTCTTTGGTCTTCTCTTACGGATAGAAAGCCTCCAGGGTTTCAATCTGAAGCTCTTATGCAAAATGAGTATCCAAGGCCAATTCAACCTTCATACCAAGTAGCTTATCAAGATCAAGGTCGGCCCTGCGATGGTCGAGCCTGTAAACTTGAAGACTTGGTAGTTCAATTCGTTACAAACACCAACAAGAAGTTTAATGATATTGACAAATTCATGGAGAGTAATACGACCAATTCTCAAGTTTGGAAGCGGGTTAAAGGAATCAACAAGCTTTGCTTCAAAATCTTGAAACTCAACTAAGCTCATTGACACAAGCTTTATCGTCAAGACCACAAGGAACCTTACCAGGAAATACCGAACCTAATCCTAAAGAGGGATGTCACATGGTAACTCTAAGGAGTGGCCGCCCTCTAAAGGAGGTTCCTATCCCAACATCCAGGATACTGGTAAGAGAGGTTCAAAGAGAAGATTTGCAAGAAGAATAGATAGTTCGGGAAGAAGTACAACCTCCTATCGAAATCAAGATTGAAGATGAAGAGAAGTCTAAGAGGACTCAAGTACCCAATTCAACCTCAAAAGCTCATTATCTAGACGGTTATTAGAAAGTTATCTACATCATGAATATGCTCCATAGAAGGATACTTTGAAGCAGTTGAAGGTAGTCATTCCTTTCTTATACAAGGTCATGAAAATTCCTAAATATACTAAATTCTTGAGAGAGATATTGTCGGGAAAGAGGAAGACGGAGGTAGTTTCTATGGTCTCTATTAGTGAAGTTGCTTCAACATCCATTGGGTGTAAAGGCTTCCCTACAAAGCTAAGAGATCGGGGATTCTTCACTATTCCATGCACCTATGGAGTCAAAACTTTTTGGATTTCGCTAGCAGATTTGGGGTCTAGTATCCACATTATGCCTACAAGAATATACAATGAGTTAGACCTTGGACCACTCATGCCTACTAAAATGCGGATTGAGTTGGCCAATAGGTCCATTGTCGAGCCAAGGGGAGTCATAGAATATATCTTAGTAAAATGTGGTCATTTTGTTTACCCTGTAGACTTCATGGTTTTCGACACGGAAGGATGTGATGCATCGATAATCCTAGGCCGACCATTCTTAGCTATGACACGGACCATTATCGATTTGAATTAAAGCAAGATCACCTTAAGGTTTGGAGAGGAGGAGAAAAGCTTCAAGATGACTCCAATCCCCAAGTTTCACAAGTACTACAAATGGGAAGATGCATTGTGAGCCGGTCACACCTCCTTCCACCCCAACTTCAAGCCCCGAGATATAATGGTTCGATATGGTCTCTCATGTTGATTCTCAAGATAGAAGAGTTGAAGGTGTGGATGATTCTTGAAAGTTTAAGAAGAGACCGGGGAAAGAAAAATTTCCTTTTAAAATGACTTTTCAAGAGTTGTTTGAAGCTTCTCAACAAGCCAAGGAAAATAGAAGTGAACTCAGAAGGTTCATCCTTGAAGAGAGATACCCCAAGGGAAGAGTTCGAGACAAGATGAAGAAAAATAATATGATCAAGGTAGCTCCCATTTTTTAGTATGAAGAATCCGAAGAATGCTATAAGCATTCACGAATGAGGATAGTTGTGCAAGGGAGTGTAGTTTCTTGATCATGAACATCGACCTTCGGATATGTCTATTGAATCTCAAGCACCGGATGAGGCATCGGAGAGACTCCATGGTCTTCATTTGGGACTTCAACACAAGTATGATTTCTTTGAAGAATCATTGGTGGAGAAAGGAGCTCTTACCTCTTGATCTCAAGGAGTCAAGTCCAACAAAAAGACTTTAAAAGACGCACTAGTAGGGAGGAAAACCAATGATTTGGTTTGCGTATCTTTTACTTATTCTTTTTGATTAATTGATTAAGTAGAGGATTAGAATTGCATAGATGCTAATTAATAGGACTTAGTCCTTGCCTTGTCTCATTTTCTGGATGTTTTATTGATTTAGATGAATGATTAAGCTTAAGGTTTGGTGAAATCATGATCATTGTGTTCAGGGCAAAGATTGGGGTTAGCACCTTAGACATCGCGGCTCCAATCTTGTCCAAGTGTATTTAAGGGAGAGGTGCACTTTGTAACCATGTGTAGTCTCTCCATCTCATCTTTTAGATCTCAATGCCATGTTTCCTAACGCTTTGTTAGCTTGTTGAGCATACTTCCTCTACTTCACTTTCCAACATCTTTTGAGAAGTATTATCAATCATTTTTGGATTTTCAATATGTCTCATAGCAAGATAATGTAGACTTTTCCAAATGAACCAATCTCCAAAAGAAAAAAGTGAAATGGAATCCATTCTTCTCACCGACGGGCCACACCAATTGATGCTCGCAACTCTAATCCGCGCGATAGTACTCTGCAACCAAAAACTCCAACGTCCCTGCTTCTTCCGACCACCGTATATGCTTCTTCTTCTTCAGGCGAAGACACTCCGGCATCCCACTTGCCACCGACCCATTACTGCAGCAAGTTTGGTCTTCTCCCCAAATTGGTTAGTCAATTCGTATATTCGTGGGAGGGTTTTTGTCTTCACTCTTCTGTATTTCTTCTAGGTATCAAGGGGGATTAATATTTATTGACATATACAATTTGTTGTTTTTTCTTTGTTATGACCATGACCACTTCTACTATAAAGTCAATGAAATAAACAAACTATTTTGAGAAGGCCAAACTTGCAAGTTGCAAATACAAAAATATCAACACTTTGCTTAAGTGAGAATAGGTTGTTGTTTCTTTGTTATGCCCACTACCTCTGTCCATTTCGTTACTCTGAGTTACTTAGATTTCTATATATTGCTTCTGTTTTTTTTTACTCCACTCGTCCCTCTCTGGCTGCCTCTATCCATTTCGTTACTCATTTCAATTGTTCATTTGAGTTATTAATTTGCTTGCAATGATTTAAGTCTTAGCCACCAAAAATCATATACAATGATTGCTGGGTTCGTTTGACTTGAGTGATTAATTTTGTGTAATGGTGTGAAATTTCAGATTTGGATTTTCTTATATGGCGTCCTCTACAACATCAAAACCTGGTTCTAAAGCTAAGGCTAAGCATAAAAATGCAGCTGAGACTCGTGATGATCCGGGGTGGGATCATGGAATTGATCTTGATTGTAAGGGTGTAAGGGTGAAATGCAATTACTGTTAGAACAAATACAAAGGGGGCATCTATCGGTTGAAGAATCATCTTGCAGGAAATAAGGTTAATGTTGAGGCTTGTCTTAGTGTCCCTGATGTAGATAGGAAACAATTTCGGGAAATGTGGTATGCCAAAGAAGAAGCAAAAACGACAAAAAGGAAACGTTTGCATGATTATGGACAACATGAGGATGAGTGTGTTAGAAGAGAAGGGACATCCAAC